GCATGACGCACAGACATGGAGGGGAGGTCCCACTCAGGCGSTGGGGCTGGTGGCGGCGCTGTGGCCTGCGCGTCCCCGGCCCTCACGTCCCCAGAGCCCGGGAGCGCCTGGTTTGAGCCCAGCCTTCACTGAACTCATGGACTCGGACTCTCCCAAGCCCTGGAGGAGGGACGTGGCTCCTCTCCCTGTGCTGGTCTAGTGAGTGAGAAGCCCACCTGGCCACCTTTTCCTTCTCCTTGAATCCAGGACTCCTTGGAATCCTTGGCTCTCCCAGGTTAAGGCATGCCCAGGAGTACAGCCCTCTCTGGAGGGCAGCCTCAAGTCCAGTATCAGCTAGGAGACACCAGCTAAATGGCAGATGTCTCTACCTGGCATCCTCTGTGTGCTATTAAATACTTCAGCTCTGCCAAAGGACACTTGGAGAAAGAAACAAATCTGGATTTGTTCCTTGTAGCTGAGGTCTGTGTCTTCCCACATTTGCAATTAGGAGCTGATTCTCCCAATGCAAAACTAGCCAGCCAACTGCTCCTGAGAAGCCGTGGCTAGCGAGTGAACCTGCCCAGCATGGCCAGGGATCACATTCGGGTTKTAAGTCCGATTTGAGTGGGGGAACAGACTGAATGACACTGGTTTTAGTTGACCCCTCTCATCCCACTACTGTTTTCCTTTCTAGATTTCCTGCTTTCAAAGCTAAGCAAGCCAAAGGACTTTGGGGGATTTTCCTTTCTAATATTCATGTGTTTTCTGTTGCTGGCTGAAGCAGAAATGCCCATTAATCCAACAGCAGGAAGACAGTTTTTCATATCAAGAGCCCCAGGGTGGCTTCAKGAGCCATTTGCTCATGTGCTGGTTCACGTGGAGGCCTCCTGAACACCTTGGCACTGCCCATCACTCATCCTTTTATCAGGCACGTGTCAATGGCCTCTCTGTGAGGATCCTGAAGCCAGCACGATGCTGAAACACGAGCACACCAAACGTGGCTGCAGGCCCAAGAGGGCAGCCAGAGCCTGTGGCAATGGTGTCACCTGTGTCAAGGCTGAGGCATGGAAAGGAGGAAGACTGGGACTGCATAGCGTCTCATTAACCTTTTCTCCCAGCCACGCTGGGCTGGATTCAAGTTTTCAGCAAATCCATGATCTACACAAAGCGGCCTGTCACTGGTGACTGATGGCCTGTAAATATTTAACCTTGGACTGTTTCATAATACTTGGTGGTCTCTTCAGTGTAATGACTGTGACTGTTTTCTCACTGTTTAATATTAACAAGCAAACTCTGAACGTGACGGGGGCCACCCCTGCACAAAGTTCAGCCCTCTGAATTTCGGTGCACGGCCCGCGCAGCTCCCGCAGTTGCATGGGAAAGCCAAGTACCAGCAGGGCACAAAGATGTCATCCCTCAAACATTTTTTTGCAGGGGGTGGGAGGCCTGGAATGTTCCTCATTCAAACCCTTAACCTTTCTTGTGCCTTTTGTGTTTTATAGAGCCTGTACAGCCCTCTCGGCCTGTATCCATAGCTTGCTTCATCACTCCCTCACTGTGATTACTCAGTGCCTAGTGTCACCACCCAAATACAAACTGCAGTCTGAGGAGAGAGCTGAAGGCAGGGGGCATTTGTGATCCCTGTTTTTTGAACTCTTCATTCCAAAGCAATGACTTGTACAGGGAAAAAAATCTCCYTGGACGAGTATCTCGGATGAAACTCACCCCCCACACGAAGCCCAAGGGGCTGTGTGAGCTGCATGCAMAGGCTGGATGATGTGCCATGGTCTGACATCATTCTGCAGCCCCTGACCCTCCTCTCCCCATCCCTGGCTCTCACCTGACGTTGCTTTGCACATGGGAGGCATCCTCGTGACCCTGCTGTGCGCCACAAAGGTGCTCTGCGAGGACGAGCTGTACTGGGAGCTGCTGTCCGAGGAGGTGGAGCTGGTGTGCGAGAGGCGGCTGTGCTCCTTGTGGGAGGCCGTGGAGCGCTGGTACCACAGCCGGAGCTCGTCCGACACGGCAGTCCTACCCGAGCCCTTCTCGGGGCCCTCCCTGCCCAGAGACGGAGTCCTGATGATCTGGGAGCGGGAGGGCGTCAGCCTCACGGCGTCCGCTTCATCCCCGTGCCAGTTCTCCTTAAACATCCCCCCTGCCGTGTAGGAGTTGGAGGTTTTAAATTGTGCTTTCACGCTGTAGTGTCCCTCCTGGTCGTTCTCCAGGCTCCGCACCACCACGGGCGTGGAGCTGCCCTCGATGTACAGGGGATACTCTTTGATCCTGTACTGCGAGGAGGGCTGGCTCTGGCTGTGCAGGTAGACGCGGTGGTGGCCCGTGCCGTTCCTCGCCGCCAGGTTGGGCATGCTCCCCGAATTCGAGGAGACCAGGTTGCCCGCAGATTTGTGTCTCTGCCTCTGCCGCTCTCGGGCTTTCGAGGGTGAGTCCTCGGCCAGCGTGGAGTAGTTGGGGTTCATCTGAGCGGGGTAGTAGTGCTCGGAGCTCGAGTGGCTGGTGCAGGAGGAGCAGTCRTCCATGGGGTCGGAGCCGTTACTGCTACGAGTCCTTGGGGTGTAGAAATCGGGGCTCCCTGTCTCATTCTCTGACCCGAGGAGCTTGCCCTGCGACTCCAAACTGGAGCTCCGGTGCCTAAAGTGCTGAGCTAAGCTGTGCAGTCTGGTCGGGCTGATGTCTACGGACCTGCAGGTATCGGGAACACGTTCAGGCTGACAGGGCAACACAGTGAAACTCTCCCCCTTCCCTTCTCCATCTACGGCCAGCGCTGGCRGCGAGGGAATCTGAACGCACCGAAAACTCAGAGCCCTCAGCCCAAAACGTGGTGGTTTCTCCACTAACCTTTGAAAATCCACCCCCGGGAAGCAGGTACATTTCACTGCAGACTGGTGGCGGGTAACGCGGCTGCAGGGGACGGTCCCTGAGGCAGCCACCCCGGTTTGCAAGTTTACAAGGCTGGATTCATGGCCAAGCCAGGGTGGTCTCTGTTCCTGGGGGCTGTCTGCAGAGCTCCAGCCGTCCACGGAAGGGGCAGGATCGGGGCTGGGGGTGACTCACACAGCCCGGATCACAGACGGCCAAGGCTGGGGCGCGCGGCTCGCGCCTGGGGCACAGCCCGAGCGGCGGCTGCTCCCAGCAGCCGAGCGCCTCCCAGCCACTCAAGGCCACTTCTCACCTCCCGTGCAGCTCAGCTCTAGCACTAACAGACACTGCACTCCTGAAAGGCACCTTCGTCCAACAGCTTGTAACAAACTCAACCCAGGACCTTCGTGCCKTGCAGTGTTCCTGTCCCAGCCGCCTGTGTTGGCATTACTCTTGATTTATGGCAAACAAAATGATGTTAGGGCAGGATTCTTGGGGCAGGATACCTMCCAGCACGCAGCTACAGCTCAGCTCTGTTGCCCTCAGAATGCCTGGGAATTTGCCATGAGAACAAGGCAGCCCTGATACCGAACAGCTGTGGAAGTCTTGCTGAAAATCTGAGTTGAATTTGGCCACTCATGTCCAATCTCCTCCCCTAGGCTAACACTTGAGCTTATCCCACCGTCAAGCTCTGTCCAAAGGGATCCCTGGGTGGGTTGCTTACAGGAGACAGGCTCTCTCCTCACATAAGCACCCACGTGTGCACGCACTTAATCTGTCACCGTGAGGGAGAATTCACACTGCTCCACCTCTCAGGGCAGAAAGGAAATGAGCTGTTATCTGCAGCTKCATCTGAGGAGGAATTTACTGCACAAGGGAGCAGTGGTACCGCACCCCCTTTACAAGTGGTGTGGGCTTTGGGAGGCCTCAAAAGTCACTGGGATGAAAGGTCCCAGCAGAACAAAGCACTGGTTACTTGGAGCAGGTGCTGAGGGGCAGGATCATGTTCATCAGAAGTGAATTCAGGGCCTAAGCTCAGCAGAGATGTCTTCCTGGTGACAGTGCGTGGGTCCCTGGCATGAAAAGGACACATGCCTCCCTGAGCTGGATATTGGATTGGATATTAATTACCATCCTACGGGAAGGACAAGACAGAATAGACATTTTGGGGTGAGCAAGTGGAGGCCGCTGTGCAGCCAGGAGGACTCACCGTGTGGAGTGGACGTAGTGCGGGCTGCGCACCCGCAGATCGGGCGTCGATGGCATGCTGGACTGGGAATTCCAGTGGGGAAGGCTCCGGATGGGGCTGTTCTGCAGGGAGCTGCTCCCGCCCGCCTCAGCACAGCTCCCACTGCTGGGGAACCGCTTGTGGCTGCTGCGAAGCAAACACGGTGCGTCAGGCGGAACTGGGGGCTCCCCGACCCGCTCCCACACTCAGGAATGCCACCCGTGTGTCCCTTTGCTAAGGGACACTTCTGCCATGCATTCTGGGAAGGGCTTTTACTGAGTTAAGGCCTGTTCCAGACTCACAACCTTGGGCGTTCCAGTCCAAGAGAAGCGCAGGATGCCCTCGAGGGGCATTCCCAAAGCCTGGCTCACCTGGAATGACTGTGTGAGGAGCGTTTCTTGACCTTCTCGTAGGGTTCGTCCAGGGATGACTCGCTCCACATCTTGGGCTTGATGGGCGACTTGTCGTAGTCGTTGCGGTGATAATGCATTTGCCGGAGGCCCTCCAGGGACTGCGGAGGAGGCGGCCTGTTGTGCAAGGGCGGCCGGGGAGGGAGTCCCTTGTGCGGGGACTGCAGAGGGGATATTGTGCTGGTGACCTGAGAATCCTCTGTGAAGAGAAAGGGGGAGAGAGGGGATGGCTCTGAGACCCCCCCCATGCCAGCGTTATCCCGGAAGGCAGCGTCACACGGGCAGGCCTGGCTCCCTATCGGCCGATATTCCCATTTTGGGAGGGAATGATCAGCACGAGTGTGTGACTTTGTATGGAAATTACTGTAATGTGAAGAGAAGAGAAAAGAAAGGGAGATTCTGGGACTGTTTCTTGCAGGAATTCAGGGCGGTAGCTGTGGCGATGCTCACAGCTTCGGGCCGACTACAATTCGGAATCAGGAGGAACTTCTCTATCAGGCACATTTCAGGGAGGTTGGGGTGGATTATTTTACAGGACATTTCCTCCATTTTGAGGGTCAGTCAGTAATTCCTGCATCTCTCCCTGCTTTGTTACTGCTGGAATATGCAGCAGCCCACATACCATCCTCGAGAACAAGGGCGTCCGACAGGGAGCTGTCTTCACTGGCAATGTTTCCTTCTGTGGGGAAGAAAATAAGGACAGTCAGAGGGTCAGAGGCTTCACAGGGACTGAATGCTGAATTCCTCGCACGTTCTTGCCTTCAGCAATCACCCACGTCTTCTTCCCTCACAGAGCCTAAAGGCAGGAAGATTCCTATATATAACTGAGTGGGCCCCCTCTCAGTGTGGGAGGGCAGAGGTGGGGAAATCTCCTGCTCACAGGCTGCCTTCTGGGGAGCTGCTGACAAACTGGGAATTAAGACTGAGTCATAACGGAGAGCTGAGATCTCCAGAGGATGTGAAATGGCCCAGAGCCATAATTCAGATTTGTATCTGCTGTGGACCTCAGATCTGACCTTTGCCTTTCTAGAGGGATCACCCTGAGGCTAAGGGCCTATGGGGACATTCCAGTTTTGTGTAATTCAGGGAAACACTTTCTGAGCATTCTCTGGAGCAACAGAAGGAAAAGCTCCCAGGTCCTTGTCATGCATTTGAGCTGCCTTCCCTGTCCCACATCCTTCAGGCCCCTCTGCTATCCCTGGCTGCAGTCAGCTTGGTACCCAASTCACAAAGCCAGCAGCTGTCATCTCAGTTCCTGCCCTAAAAGCACAGAGAAATGCTCTGCAAGTCCAAGGGAAACAATCAGATCAGTGAGGGAGAATGAACCACAGAAAGTTAATGGATTTCACAAAAAGCCAATCAACAACCCAGTAACCCATACAAGCCCCTGAGAATTACATGGTTAAAACGAAAAGCGTTTGCACCCAGCAATGACACGGTACCATTTTGATTTTACAGCTGCCTTTCAGCTAGAGAGCTCAGGCCAATCTGCTGACATTAATTACGTTTGTAGAGCACCCCTCTGGAGCAGACGTGAACGGAGCCATTTTATAGGTGAACAGAGGAACCACAGTTGGTTTCCTGACACACTTATAGCCTGCAGAGTGACACTGCTGTGACCCAGCACATCCCTGGTGCCTGCACACAACCCAGTGCAGCTTCTGCAGGCACCACGGGGCAGAAAATGGGAGAAAAGGAGGGGGAATCCAAGCCCTGAGCCGTGAGTTTTGCTCTGCGCCCTGCCCTCCACGGAACCCCRTGGTGGTTTGGGCCGAAGCTCACTCACCATCTATGATGAGGGATGCCCTCTGGGTTGGCTTCTTCCCGGATTTGATGCGGTACTCGTTGATGGCGTTTTCGATCTCCTGCAGCTTCTTCAGAGCGTTCAGGTAGGACGTCTTCCTCTGCTTCTTCAGCTTCTTGCTGACGTTCGGGTCGCTCGCCAGGCGCCGGGCGGCCTCCGTGATCTGAGACTGAATGGCAAACTCCCTCTCCAGGCGCTCCAGCTCGGCCTCCTTGCAAAAGGGGCATGGAAAAGGGATAAAGGGTCCGGCTTGCCCCCAAACTCCCCTTGCCCAGCCATGAGGAAGCTCCCCCGGAGCCTGACTGCTCAGGACCCTCCGTGAGGGAGCCACCCATCATCCTGCTGCTCTCCTGGTCTCAGCTCTGACCCGTGCCTACCCTTCCCACCTCCACCCCACCACTCAAGGTGTAGCTTCCAGCCACAGGGCCCCGAAGCCAAGGCCTGYAGGCAGGTTCATGCCAGCACAGAAGCTGTTTGCAATGGATTTGGCTACCTCTCCCAGCTCAATGGAGCTGTTGCTGCTGGCCTGCTACAGCACGCTGTAAATTAGGGAAGAAATCCAAACCCTTTTTCTTCTAATGAAGCGTTAGTGCTGAAATCACAAGCACTGATAGCCACGTGCTCACGGAGATCCCCCTGTTGTACCAACTCAAGTCTGTTCAATTCACACGTGCTGCAAGAGCTGGCGCGGTGGGAATTTTAATCAGACTGAAATGGGCCCCTTAAATTTTTATTCTGGGCTTCTGGCTTGAAAAACTCTCTCTGCTGTCAGTGGTGAGTTAGCATTGCCTTAAAATGATAATTATAATTTCCCTCATTTTAATGAATACTGGACCTACCCACTCCCACCTTCTTAGGAGGTGCCTTTTTAAGGGATTTATAAGCTCTATCAAAATCAGACTTGCTAAAAATAACTTGACACAATAGAGTTTTAAGGCTGGGAACCCGTTTTGCTGCGTTGGGGCAAAATCCAGAATTACRTGATTATGGGAGAATTTCACCTTTTGATTTAAACCGAGTTTCCAGCGTTCACACTGGCTGAAACTTGTATGAAAATCATCACTGGCCTCTAAAAGCTCTAGGAAAGGCAGCCAAACAAACAGAGCCCAACGTTATTCTTTGAGAATGGAACCTAAAGTTGGACAGATGGAAAAGGTGGGAGGAGGAAAAACTCCTGGGCACGTTTGAGATGTGGCTGCCAAAACGCAGGGAGGGCAGCAGGGAAAAGCTGCTCCACTGCCCACCTACATCCTGCTGCTGGAATAAGGGGATAATTCACCCCAAGGCCCCAAAGCAGCAGGATTTGGGGAAGCTGGAGAGAAGGCTATAAAAGGGAGCAGCCAACAGGCTGCAGGGATCTTAGGAGTAAATGTAAGCAGTGCTCTCCTTTGAAAAGCTTCACTGAATGTGCTAGTTCATGAATATCTGACTTCAGTGGAATTCCTCTCCCAGGWTCCATGGAGAACACAACGGAGGGGCTCCAGCTGCTTATTGCTTCTTTGCCACAGACGGCCAACGCCAGCAGAACGACAAACAGTTAATTTCCTGGCTGAGCTGGGCCTTAAACCGCACGGCCACAGCAGAGCCAGGCTCTCCCCTTACAAAAATAAAAGCGGAAACCCAAAACTGGAAGACACACAAGTGTCTTGAGACAAATGCGTCTCCGCAGACAATGGATTTTCTGTGGATCCGGTGCCGCCTCGCAGCTGTTTTCACAGCCACGGTTCAGGGCCCTGACCCAGCTCATTGTGGGAGCCAGGGGGGAGAGCAAAGCCTGCCCGGCACACTCAGGAAAACACAAATCCAGCTCCCTATAGGTAGGGATGACGGCTCTTTTGTTTAGGGGCTGCGGAGTGAAATGGTTTGGCTTTGCTGTTGCAGGGCTAAAAATGGGGATTTCTGGTGCTTTTCATCCTGTTAGGGGAAAACTACCTGGGGGCTTCTGGTTCTGAGTTCAGATTGCTGCTAAAGCGGGAGAAAAGGGGCTGCATGTGCTATAAACGTCAGGCAGCAGCAGGGCTCAGATGGYCCAAGAACCTCGTGATGTTCCCCCTACTCATCCCAGCCACCACGTCCAGGCACCAGGGCCTCGGGATCATCGCTGCTCCAGCTGCCATCCCGGCCAGGTCTGTGGCCTCTAGCAGAGCCTGAGGCCTTCATCTCACCTCTGAGCCTGAGCTAAGGTYGCTAACCCTCCCTCATCCTCGCTGTACAGCTGATTGCTAAGGGAATTTGCAGATTCTCCATGAAATTAAAAAAGAAAAAGAAAGGCCCTGTGACCAACTTCAGTCATTTCAAGGTAAAACATGATGGCCCCTACATGATGCAAGCTGGGTGTCCTAGAGGTGGGGACATGAAGCTGGAAGGGAAGGGCAAAGCCTCACCTCTCCCTTAGGCAGGATTTTCTGCTCATCCAGTTTGAAGGCAGTTCCTATTCTTCTCCTTACAATGGGTGGCTCCTCCCCGGGATCCAGGGGATATTCCCGTGGCAGCTTCCCTGTGAGCTCCTGCAAGGAGGAAACACTGTTAGTTACCTGGGAGCCTGGCCTGGATTGCAACTGTAGAACAACAGGCAGCCTCGAGTGACACTGGATGATGCCTTGTCAGACTAGCAGGGTCATATGCAAAGTTTCCTGCAAAATCCAAAGCAGATTCCACACGGCTGAGGAAAATATGGAACATGGGAAGCAGCGAGTGCCAGTATCACTGTGAATGCTCTGGGGTTTTTACTTTTTTCTTCTGGCAGGCACAATACAGCCACACATATCTGAATTGGAGGCATTCAAATGCTACATAATAAGGCAGGAGCCCCATTCCCAGAAGAGCCCAATTCCTTGTACTCCAAAGTCTCCCGTAGGAAGGACAAAGGGCTTTTGTGTTCTTTAGCATCAGCCTTGAGAGGATCCAGCTGGCAGAATAACCAACACCATCTGAATGCCAAAGAAGGGGGCGACCTTGGTGCAGCCCCGGCCCCTCCTGCCTCCCCGGCCTCTCTCCGCTCCCTGATGGAGTTTTTCCTTTTACTCTTTTCAGGGCACTAGGAAGATTTGGGCCTTTTCAAATCCTTCCTCCAAGCAGGGTTTGCAGCACAAGCTGCTTTCGGATGTGCACAAGCTGCCCTGGTGCAGCAGCTGGGGGGTCCCATCCCGTGATCCCCATGGAGCTGTTTCAGCTGCTCTTCTGTCCCGGGTTTCTGGCGTTACACGACTCCAGCTACTGCATCAACACACGGATTCTTTCATCTTTCTTGAGGAAAACAGGCATTTTCTTTATAATCCGTGATATGAATCGGAGAGGTAGGCGAAGAGTTAAYGTCTTCTGTGAAATGCCCAAGATTTGGGTAGAATAAAATTAATGTGGGCTACCATGCTGCCTTCATAAGCTGAAAAGTATTCACTGACACAGGCCTGAAATGAAATCTGAATTAATAAGTAACTGGAGTGGCGACGGCCTGAGGTAACTCAATGCCACTGTTATGAATGGCTCTGGCCAGGCCTGTTGGATTCATTCCCCATTTTTAACCCCTTTTCAGCTCCTGATTCAGCTCCTCCTCCCTCTCTTTGGCCCATTCCTATGCAGAGTGGGAGGGATGTGGGGCAGTTGGAGAGCATCACAGAATGGCTGAGGTTGGAAGAGACCTCTAGAGACCATCTAGTCCAACCCCCTGCTCCAGCAGGGACAYCCAKAGCATGGGGCACAGGGCGGCATCCAGGCAGGTTTGGGAGATCCCCAGAGAAGGAGACTCCACAGCCTCCCTGGGCAGCCTGTGCCAGGGCTCTGGCACCCTCACAGGAAGGAAGAGGAAACACAGCAAGAGAGGAAACGTTACAGCTGCAGGGGCCTGAGGGATGAGCTGCAGGGCTGCAAGGCTGGGAGCTCCTGTGACTGGGAGCGCCTGTGACTGGGGCACAGACTCTTCTTCCCACCCACGCTTTAGGCATCAGCCTTCAGGCCGAGTTATCTTACAGTGTTATCTTATCTTTCCTGCACAAGCAGAGATGTCTCAGCTGTGTCCATCAGTGCTCAGAGTGTGTGGCCACTTCCAGCAGATGATCTCAACTCTGCACTCGATGGACTCCTTGAACTGGATCCACTCCTGCAGCCTCTACCAGCGTACRCTGTTTGCTGAAGTCAACCAGGACTCGGGTGAGAAAGGGTGGCTCGTGGTGACTACGAGGGGAACTGGCACCACAGACACTTCTAGTGACTTCCTCCATTGGGAGCTCTTTTTCCTGCCTTATCCTTGTTGGCACTGAAGCGACAGACAAATTGAAACAAGGAGYAAAGAGAGCTGGATGAGCAGCCACTGACCTCGCTCCCCTCTTTCTGTCAARGGCGAGATACACACTGAATATTGAGCAACAACTGCAAGATCTCAGTGCCACTGCYTGCAGCCAGCTTCCTGTTTTGTTACACATCATCACTTTGGGTTAAATTCAGATTTTTCCAGGTCTGGTAAACATTGGAGGACTTCTGAGTGACCCAAGGGGAAGCYGCTGCTAATCTGTGTCTCCACACAGAGCTGTATTTTGGAGTTGCTCTTTCCAAAAATACTAAATTTTGAAACTAGTCAGCATCTACTCCAAGAAAGAAGAGATAGGTGAGTGGGAAGGTTGTGAGATGAGCTCCTCAGCTGCCCTGCCTTTCTCTCCCAGCACTCTGGGACCCAGTGGTGTGTCCTCACAAGGTCTACCGTGACATTGCCATCCTTCTCCAGGGGTGCCAGGGCTTTCTGGATGCAGGATGGAGGATTTTCCATGCTGTTCTTTGCCCAGCGAAGGAGAGACCCCACATGCTGCAAATGAGCCACACAACCAGGTCTGTGGCTCTCTGAGATGGCTACAGCTTGAGGCAATAACACAGCTGGAAGGCAGCAGAAAAACTGGGAAAGAGATGGGAGAAGGAAAAAATGTGCAGGGAGAAGAAAAACAGCTGGGACCAGGCCTTCTCTAGGAAGAAAGTTCCAGTCCCCCACTTTTTTTTTTTTTTTTGCCTAATAAAGTAAAAGGCATTTGAGGAGTGAGTTACTAGCCCACAGGACAGTCTCCCTGTGCCATTCAGGCACAGGGAAATTCCTGCCAAGGTCAATGGCAAGCCTCGTGGGAGCCTGGCTGAAGGCATCTCAGATGCAGCTTCAAACAGGAGACATGGGTGTTCAGCACCCTCCTAACCCGCTGGAGATCCAACCGGCACCGGGTTCCCCTCTGGAATGGGAGGGGGATCACAGTGCCTCGTGATGCTGCAACGTGGGCTGAAAGGGCTGGGTGACGGCGAGAGGCGCCTTGCAAGAGGTGGCTGCAGAAGCCCTTGCTGCTGCTCTTTCCACACCCCTTCCAAACCAACGGGAGCAACTGGGAGGTGTCCCAGGGGATAAAGGTGCCGTGCCTACCGCTTCCCGGAGACACAGCTTCTTCAGCTCCTCCAGGCGCTGGCGCAGCGTCTCCTCCAAAGCCTCCTGCCTGGATTTCAGYGCCGCCAGCATGTCCTTCTTGGCAGACTGGGAACTATCGGACTCCTGGGAACCTGTCAACAAACAGTGATTTCACTAGGCCAGCAGAACACACATCTGGAGCGCCTGTGAATTTCACCAAAGCCCCTTCTTTGGAAGCAATCTTCCCCAAAAGAAACCAGATTATGACACGGAGCAGGTGTTACCCAGTCATGCTTGTTTACAGCAAATCCTTAAYGCTTAAGCTGACAGACGGAGTTGGACAGAAGAGCACATAAAGGCATCTGTAAGCATTTTTTTTTCCCGAAAAATAAAAGCAATACAATTATTCATGTAAAATCATGGGGAAAAAAACAAAGCAACAACATACAGTTCCCATGGAAGTTGCCACTAGCAAATAACAGTACAGTTTGCAAAGAACTGGAGATGTTTTTTGAGGAACCTAGGGGAAGCATCTGAAATATGGCCCGCTTATTTAAAAACTGCAAAGACCCTAGTAGCAAACACTTAATTCAATCCACTTACATGTCTGCTTTATGAAACAAAGGTAATGCAACAACATCACCTACGAAGGCTGCTGTAAAATAACCTAAGTTGAAAAACAAAACCAGAACAATAAACTACAGGAGGCCTTCCCAGAACAGTAGCTGTTTCTTGTTAAGGTCAGGATATTAAAGCTGGATGCCCAAATGGCCTGATTTTTCCAAGTGGCAATTACCCGGGGACTTCCTGGGAAGTAAGTTCCTGCAATTCCCTTTGGTGCAAATCCAGAATCAACTCAGGCTCTCGCTCAGATGTCACAGCAGCACCAGTGACTTCAGCTCGTACGGGGAACACATTGATGGGATTCCTGAATTTGTTCTGCTTTGGGATGTAGCTGTCCAAGATCTCGGTTCTCCCAGAAGGGGCAACTTCGGATGAATCCCATTTTTGGGTGCCCAAATTCAGGTTTTTATAGCACCAGACCCCTATGCTGTACAGCCCAAGGTGCCTCCACAGGGACTTCATGCAGGTTTGCCTGGTCTAGCTCAGTGGCTCTCAGCCCTCGGTGTCCCACAGAGATTTTGAGGGGCTCCACGGCCCCTGTGGAGTAACAGCAGAGAGAGCTGGGGCCCTGGTTAGCCCTGGACACCAGATTGCACAGGGTGTCACGTGCAGGTCTCTGTGCACCTGCAGACTGGAGGGCTTTCTAGACACATTTGCAGCAAGGCCTCCCCGGTGAACACTGATCTCAGCCTAAGCTGGCTGAAAATATCGCTGCCTTTTCACAAAGCTCTGGAATGAACCTGCGAAGGACCCAACCTGGGGACAATTCTTGGTTTGGCAGCCAAACACAGTGAAATCTGTGTTTCCAGTTTCATCTTTCATTGCTGCTATTCCATCAGACCATTAAGGCTAAACTGAAAATGGACCTAGTCTGTGCCGGGAAACAGCTCTGCATTAGTCCAGAGGTAACAGAGAATGTCACAGATCTTTCCCGTCACTATTTTCTGCAGTTTTCACACGGGAAGACCACAGGCATTTATGCTGCAAAATGCCAACAAACTGCTGGGCTCTGGTCATGAGCTGCTCACRGTTCCTGCAGATGTTTCAGCCCCTTTTTCCCCCCTGTTTTAGGACAATTTCAATGACCCGTGTTTTCCTGCCAAATACTCTTCCCCTTTCCTTCCTCTGCCTGCTCCCTACCTTCCCGCCGAGCTTTGATTTATTTTTAAAAGCTGCTCCTCTTTGTACGGCGTGTTGCCACAGCAGCTCCGCAGACACCAAACATTTCCCAAACAGATGAACGGTTGGAGCTGTGCCCAGATGTCTGCTCTGATCTGAGGTGTGAGGGCAATGGGGAAATAAACGGGATGTGACTGAGCTGGGGCAGACCCAAGTCAAGCACAGGCAGTTCACAGCGCTTGCAAGACCCCCTTATTTCCAGAGACATTCCTGAGAGAAGGATCGGGCTGGGATTTCTAACTGCCTCTTTCTTTGGAAACTTCTGGCTTTTTTTTTTTTTAATGATTATTTAAAAGCTGAACTATTTGCTTAGAGTTTTATGGGCTTTACTCTCTGCTTGCTGCTGAAGGTGTAAAGCAAATGTAGACTTGAGCAGTCAACTGAATCCCAGCAGTACAAGGAGGTTGCACAGCAGCAGCAAGGAGTGACTCGTGTTGCCTCTGTGCCCAGAGCATCCATTAGGAACTCTTCACTCACAAAAAGGTATTAATCCGGCCCTGAGCAAAGCTGTGGCCTCAGAGCTACTCTTAAACCCAGTGTTAAGTGACCCCAAAATGTCAGAATGAATCAAGAGACCAAAAAACAAGGACGGAAATAACCCAAGACCGGCTCAAACCAAACCAACCAAGCAGCCACTATCTTGAATCCACCTTATTATTTATGATGCCCCCCGAGCCAGGGCTGCCTAGGAAAATTATTATCCAGCCTCCTTCCCATTTGCAGTAGACATTTACCAAAATCTGTATTTTAACACACACTCCTGCAGGACCGTTTGAGGGCCCTAAAAGAGAGAAGGTCATGAAAGCCCCGGGCATGGGGCCACCCCTGACAGGCACCAGGAACTCCCTGAACTGGCACCTGCTTTCAGAGCTGCTCCTGCTGGTTTCATCTCAAACCACAGGAAATCCTCCATGACACTTCCTCCGGAGCGCCCACGATGGGATGCAGGTCTTGGCTTCATGCCCAAGTGCTCTGTGATAGGCTGGTTCTGATACTCAGCCTCTCTGCTCCTCATTCCCTAGGTGACTTCCCCATCCACGGACATCCTGGGAAAAAGGTGCTGTGAAAGGGGGAGGTTGTGGCACCCTCTGGCCAACTCCTCTCTCCAGCACCACTCATGACTGACCAGCTTCTTGCCCAGGGCTCACAGGCTGGTCCTGATGCCTCCTACCCTGGTGAAGAGACTCTTGGTGATGTTGATGGGGCTGTGAAGCAAACAGGTCACATCCGCTCCCAGCAGATTCCCATCTCYGCATCCAGGYGRGTTTGGAAGATCTCCAGCCAAGGAGACTCCACAGCCTTCCTGGGCAGCCTGTTCYACGGCTCTGTCACCCTCACATTGAAGTTCTTCCTCACATGGAGATGGAACTGCCTGGGTTTCAGCTTGTACCCCTTGTCCTGTCACTGGCCACCACTGAGAAGAGCTTGGCCCCTTCCTCCCTACCTTCACCATCAGGTATTTATATATATTGATCAGGTTCCCTCTCAACCTTCTCTTCTCCAGGCTAAACAGGCTCCAGAGGGAGCCCCAGAGGAGCCCCAGAGGCCCTCGTGGGAGCCGGGCTGGGGCTGCTCCGGCGGCTCTTTATCCACCCTGGTGCTCGCGCAGCTGCCGGATGGGAATGGGCCGTTTGGGCCCGGCTGCTCCGTCGTGGCATTTTCCAACGTAAACAGGGCTGTGCACAGGAAGCCTCTGACGCTGTGGGAGCAGCAGGGCTCTTGGCTSGGAGGCTCCTCCGGGACATCCGCAGAGCTGAAGCACCGAGCGCCTCGGCGGCCCATCCTAGCCAGGGACGGGAAGGATGCGTGTGCACCGGGAGCGGGAATCTGGGGCTCRGTCTTTACAGCATTCCCGTGATAATGGGGTTCCTCCATGGCTAGGAGCCCTGCAAGGCTCCTATGGCACTGGCTGACAGACAGCTGAGAAGAAAGAAATGGCTTTTAACTGACTTGATGCCATTCCAGTATTGCAGTAACTATCACTGCTGGGTTTGACCACAGAACCAGATCCTTCCTGGGCATCTTTACTCCTTTATCCCAAATATCCAAGGACAGCAGGGAGATCCTGAGCAGAAGCTGGTTCTCTGAGCAAAGTCCTGATAACCCACTGATCTGGGGGCTAAAACATCCGAAAAAAGGGTAAAGGGGGAGTTTCTAACAGATACATCCGGGAGCACCAGGGATCAAAGCTACAACTTTGCAGTGGACATGGAGAGGAGCTGAGGGTCTGGGAAATGAGGAGGATCTGGGGACTTGGGTTAGACCCTGAGCTGCAGTGAGCAGCRAAGCCACCGGGCTCCATTTCCCCTCCGTGGTGTCTAGAGACTGTAAATGCTGCGGGAAGCGACGGCCTCTCACGGCACAGCTGGATCTCGGCCAGATGACAACCGCAAGCAACAAGAGAAGGTTCCTTGGAGYCTTGCTCCAAATCCAAGCGATACCCGGTGGCTTCAGCACGTCTCTCACGGYGGGGACGGCCCCTCTGCTGAGCAGCAGCAGCAAGGGGAAAAGAGGAAATGGCTACAAATAGTTTCCAGAGACAGAGAAGGGGAGGGAAGCAAGAGGAGTAAACAGAGAGACACTCAGTCCTCCCCTTGTGCTTCCAGGGAAATCTTCTGCTTAATGCCTTGTGCTCGTTGTGCAGCGTCCGAGCTCTGTCGGGATAACCCGGCGCTGCTCCTGGCTCTACTCAATGGGAGGAAACACGGAGCGGGAGCGATGCCGGGATGAGCCCGCCGGGCTGGGCGGCAGCGGCTCCGGGAGGGTGTTTGGAGCAGGGGACAACTCATCCCTCTTGCAATGCACCACAATGGATGTGGGCATAAAGCAAATAGAAAAGGAAAATGCAGAACTAAAACCCTGGACAGCTTGGGATTTCCATCCACAAAACCCAGATCCGGTACCAGCCTTAGAGATAGTTTTTCCTGGGGTTCATTTGCTGCTGACCTCCACCTGCCTGCTCACGCTCCCTTGCGGTGTGAGAGCAGCAGCAGCCCCTCGTGTTTTCCTTCCAGAAAGGCTAAAAGCCAGTGTATTAACATGGAAACAGGATTACTACCGAGTAGCTTTCACAAACTTGGGAATGGTGCCCAAGAGGCTGAGATCTCGGAAAGACCTTAAGAACTTCCCTGGAGCACGCAACCTTATTTACTTTGCAGCAGGAGAGCGGGGGAAAAGAAAATAAGAAAATAAAAGCTCCAAACAAAGAGCTCCAACAACCCGACACCAGGCTGTGACTCCCAATTCCCGGCRCCCTGGGAGGCACAGAGGCGGATTGTGAGCGTGTCCGGAGGACCTCAGGAACAGAAAGGCACCTCTGTTCGCAGGCAAGGCAAGGAACTGCACAGTAGGCTGCTCCCGGGCTCAATAAGCATCTCACATTTTAACCCGTTGCTGGAGGTTTTCCARGCGGGAGAGGGCGTTTAAGGGACACGAAGAATGTGGTGACGCAGAGCTGAAGCCACCGAGTCACAGGGGGTGCAATTTTATAGCGTGTGTGTCCTTAAATGGGACCGTTCCTTGGGCAGTYGCAAAAAAAATAATATTTTCTGGTGTTGACCGAAGTTATCAGAATGGATTTTGATAACTTCAGACAACACAGGGCATTTATTTGATTGGTGCTATTAATTGGGCAGATAACAGCAACTCTAAACTCCTGAAAGGCTTCTCACCTGAGGAACTCTGCAAACTATTAATCCCTGCTTTGCTCCTGGAGTGACACTGAGCGCTGTTTTGCAGACAGTTTGCCCTGTTCAGACTGAGRGCATGAAGGAAATGCAGAAAAGCTCCGGACTTGTTGCCCAGTCCTTGGCTTCTGTTTCTCTGTCCCTTATCTTCAGCAGCTTCCCCTGGGTTTATTTTGCAGCTGTATTTCTTCCTTCTAAAGGAAGTGCTCAAAGCCACCAAACAAAACCTCCCGGTCGCGGGCACTGTTTGGTGGAGAGTGCTAGGGAACAGTTCCCGTGGGCCTGAGAGGCTAATTCCAGCCCTGCAGAGGCTGGATGGTTTCTGTGGAGAACCTTCCCTGCCTTTCTGCTGCTGAGGGACACCACGACATCGCCAGGCTTGGCTTTCCCAATGAGCTGTGCTGGCAGACAGCTTCCCCAGGAGGAAATGCTCCATGAAAGCATCTGCTGAACACAGCAAAATGCCTGGGGAAGAAACAGAGACCAGCGRGTGCTTAGGGGAGACCCTGGGAAGAGAGGCCAGGCCCCAGCTGCAGAGAGACTCAGAGATGACATCCTGGGGACAAGGAGGAAACAAACAGGGGCACCCAGAGGGGTGGTCAGTGTTGAGAGAAGGGCCAACACACCTGGACACAGACAGCCCGAGAGGAAGTGTCCTTCATGGACACCTTTCCTGGCTGCCCCTCAACTGTGCCCCAGACACCCCCTTCCTACCAGCTTTCTCTGCAGTTATGGGGTGAAGACCATACCTGATGACAGGAGGCTCCCGCTGCTGCCGCTGATGATTTTGCCTTTGCTCCCCATGTTGGCCAGCTTGGAGGTCTTGAGCGTTCCAGTTTCGGTCAGGTCGATTGCAATCTCGCTCAGGCTCCGTGCGGCGTGGATCTTGGACTGGAAGTGGACACAGGGGTTAGGAATGACCTTGCACTTTTCTAAACCTCACAGAAGCAAAAAAAAAAAAGACAGTTCACTAGGGCCGGAAAGAGCAAACTTGGATTATTTTATCAAAACAGAGCAAATCTGGCACTGTATTCCCTGCTGCACCTTGCACATTCCTAAGTGGGTGCATTTCTGGCACTGCTTTCTCCTGTTTGTTATTTTCTCTGCTTTGCCACAGACTTTTTCCCATTTTACACAAATTGACTGGGTATGGAATTACTGTACTAACAAATGTAGCAGGAAAGCTCTAGTAAYGCCAATATAATGAATGGCAAAACCCAAAGACTAAAAAACAGTTCTAGCACCTGTAGGAAGCCAARGAGGGTCCTTCCATGTTTGCATTTAGGTTTAGGTGAAGATACAAGGTAGATACAGCCTAAAGGGGCAGTCCTAAGATGGAAGAAAATGTAAGGAGGAAAGTTCAGGTTATAGTGCCAAGTGGCACAGAGCAATGAGCTCTTACTGGGAGGGACTTCTCCATTAACTGGATTATTGATGTTACTCCAGTAAGAAAACAATGTGGCTTCCTGTGGCCTTGGGTCACAAGATCTTGCCCCTTCACTACAAATCTCAGTGTTGGCAGCTCTCTGCCTCCAGTTCAGACCCCTAAGAGCATCCAGAAAGTGTTAACCTGAATAAAAGGATCATTTGTGTCCACTGAAGTTGCTGGAGATGGTCCCGCAGTTATAACCCAGGCACTGCTGTCAGGATGAGGCCTGCATATGAACAATGCTCTGTGTGGCTATGAGAAATTTTCAGCCCTCTTTCTGGCCCATACATGTTAGTTAGGATCACCTTAAAACAGCTCCTGCTGTATCAGAACAACTCCCAAGCCCCTCCAGTCCCGTATCTCATCTCTGACTGGGGTCCCATCCAGATACTCCACAGGAAAAGATAAGGAAACCTTTCAACAAGCAGATGTGGAATAATCTGTCTGAAAAATTTCCTCTTGTTCCTTCCGAAATAAGGACAAGCTTCTGCTCTGCACTCTATTTTATGCTTTGCTTGTTGAATTCACTTCAGCTACCAGGCCAGGTTAACAGAGCAGAAAGCTCTAAAAGCCTGGAAGAAGGTGGCTGGCTGTGAGAGGCGGCGTGTGAAACACAAGGGTGACTGCAATTTCACTTCTGATCTGGAAATGGGCTTCTTGTCTGCTGAACTTTGCATGAATTCTCCAGTCACAGATGGAAAAAGAGCAGACCTCAGCCCACCACCCAACAGCTGCTAGCCCTGGGTGCTGCAACTCAGCTAGTCTGGTCTCAAAGAACCATGACCTGGAATTTCTGTTTGCTAGAGCCCAGAGAGCTGCTGGCACATTGCGTTGCRGGTCCCAGGCTCTTTGTGGCCTGAAAGCTTCTTCCAAAAGCTTTCCTTCAAGCTGCCAAACTCTGGGACCAAACTGGGGTCAAACTCTTCTCAGTGGTGGCCAGTGACAGGACAAGGGACAATGGGTACAAGTTGAAACCCAGGCAGTTCCATCTCCATATGAGGAAGRACTTCTTCACTGTGAGGGTGACAGAGCCCTGGAACAGGCTGCCCAGGGAGGTTGTGGAGTCTCCTTYTCTGGAGATCTTCCAAACCMGCCTGGATGYCGCCCTGTGCCCCRTGCTCTGGGTGTCCCTGCTGRAGCAGGGAGGGTTGGACTGGGTGATCTCTAGGGGTCCCTTCCAAACTCAACCAGTCTGTGGTTCTACACAAAGTCCTGTTCAGGACTTGAGCATTCACCTGCGCTTCTCCTCAAGGTGAGGGGAGACTCCAGTCAGAGGAGACTCCAGTCATTCAAGTTTTGGGTGACTGACAAACCACTACAGAGTTGAGAAATCAGAATCCGATTGTTATCCATGTATTAGGGTGTGATTTATCCTCACAGGAACAAAGAGGACATGGGACTACAAGGAAAGCTTGTTCCAAGTGCATTCCTTGCAGTATTTCACACCCTCAGGAAGATGAAATAAGTTTTAAAAGAACTAGGAGTGGACGCTTGCCCTAACGCTCACCACGCTGAGCTTCACACCCGGCTCTCGGGGATTTGCTGTGGCACAATAACACGTGAGGTTAAGCTCATAGCCATCCTCAGTGAACTAGTGAGGGAAGAAAAATGTCTCGTGTTGCACATTTCTAAGCTTAATTTAAAACTGCTCGTGGAGACAGCACTGGGAGATCCTCACACTGAAAACACCCAYGGAAATATTACTATAATTTGCACAGCCTTGGGTACTTAGAGGCTCCACCACTACCATTTGGAAGCACCCGGGTGCCATAAGCACCATGAGCAGGGGCTGGACACTCAGCCCTGTTGGAGGGCAGAGCTGCCTGCCAGGATCTCAGGGCAGGGCAAGGAAACCCAGCACTGCTCCTGTCACCCTGATGCTATCGTCACCTGGACACCTCTCACTGCCAGCAGCTCCTCCTGCTCTCCAGTGCCAGCCCTGGGAGAAACCCAGCTGTATTTTAACCTCTTGGACCTGTGGCTTCTGGTCASAACCAAGATGTAAGGAGATTTATAAAAGATGTTCTCCAAATAGCTCTGGATGGTCGATCAAGGCGGTGACTGCTTTTATCTAACAAGATTTCCTGCCACAGGAGCTTCCATAAGGGGCCTGTGCAGGAGCTGTGATGCCCAATAATTAAAGAGTCTTAGTCTAGACAAGTCCTAGGTCTGCTGACACCCTGGTGATTTATCTCCTGAGGATGGACACATGTTGTGCAACCCTAAGAATGGGCACATGGGTCCAACCCAGCATCTGCCTAACGCAGCATATTGAATTGCTTCACTTGATGTCTAGGAGAAGATATAAAACCCAGTTGGTGCAGAGGTATCCTTCCCTCCAATGTGTTCCCCTGCTCTGTCAGGCAGTGGTTTCCTGTGTCTGTTTTGGAGATGGTGTCAGTGAGAAGCCTTATTTCCACTCACATAGAGGCTGCTGACTGGAGCACACGCTGGCCCTACCTGTCCAACTGGGTTGGGAGCAGAGGYAGTGCAGGTGGATGCTGTGGTCCTCACCAGCACGCCAAGCCAGGATGCCCTCCTTCGGGGAAGTGTAACGTGGTGCAAGGGCAAAGCCAGGCACCCCAGAGGAAGAAAAAGCAATCCAGGGAAGAACAGACACAGGCAGGCAGGGCAGAGGGAGCTTCTTCCATGGAGGCTGCCATGCAACCCTGCTGAAGCTGGCAGAGAAGGTGCTAGGATGGGCTGCTCTTCTGCTAGCGGGGCTAGCTAGGTGTTGATCTGACAGCACAAGAGTGGGAAGCTGGATTACATCCCATCCCTTTGGCCTTGCAGTCCCTCCAGGGTAAGGAAAAAACCCTAATTTTCACTCAATGCTGACTTGCCAAGTCTTATTTACACGGAGGGAGACTCATTCATGAGTCATTTCAAAGCAGGGAGCAGACTGCTCCCTGCTGCTGTTCTGATGGCGTCAGAGGGAGAAGAGAAACCCATCAGTGAGAAGGGAGGACAGACTGACACCAGGAATCAATCCGTCCCCCTCGCTGGCAACGTCAGGTTTTGCCTGCAGCTCTTTCAGGAAGATGTTTTGAACTTTCTTGCCTCATTTCTACCAGGCTCATTCTGCTACAGACTCATGCTCAGAGAAAAATCCTACGTGAAATTCCCACAGGAAGAGAAATCTTAAGGCCTCTAGGCCAAACATTTGATTAACTTGGTGGAGTCAACAGAGCATGGACACAGCTTCAGGTCCCGCTGCATTCATCTCCTGCTGGAAAAGGGAAGCTGACAGGAGCTCTGCACGCTGAAGTGATCCCTCAGAAAGCCAGGAATCTTTTCAGCCTCCACGTTATGCTTGGGCTGCAGGGAGAGAGACAGGAGCTGCRGGGAACAAGGCGCTGGGAACTCTGCAGCTTGGCAGGAGTTCAACTCGGAGCTGAAAGGCTGGGATCTCCTTTCACTGCAAGAGGGGCAAAACCCCATGCAGGTTGGTTTCATTTTCAGATCAAGTGGAGCTTTTTTTGTCACTGGATCAAGTGCAGAAGGTCCAAATCCAACTGCTGCCCGGCTAGGTGGGGTTCAGGTTGGCTTTCTCACCACGGCTTATCTCCTGCCATCTAATCTACAGCGCTGGAGCCAGTCTGAGCCCAGCAGGTTTCTTCTCAGTTTGTTTTCAGTTGTCTTTGTCAAAACCCTGCAAAATGCCAAGTTTGGACATAAAAGCAGGGAGTATTTGAGGTTTGCTTTGAAGCTGGCAATTCATCTGAAGTGAGATTTAAGGGGGACGCAAACCCGTGCGACTTAAAAACTGAAAAAAAATTGTTTCTCTAAGCCTTGGAGAGCTGAAACGAGGACATTTCACATTGCTCCATTTTGGAACACCCTTTATTGGTTTTCAAAAGCAAAGTGTACACAGGCATAGTGGCCTGAAATGCCCAGCAGGATGAAYTGAACACATCAATTAAAACTGATGGATCTATCAATCTTGACAGTGTTGTAGTAAAGACGAGGACAACAGACTAAAATACCAGCTCCCTAAGAGAAAGGGGCACAAATATTTGTGTGTCTCATCTTCAAAGCCTCAGTGTGACCGCTGGGATCACAGTGACAAAGCGCCCTGACATGGTCACAGATGTGACAGATTGAGGAAGGAGGGCTGGTGTCTGTAGGAGTGTGAGAGAGGGGAGATCAGATAGAAACACAATCTGCCAACAACAAAAGAAGCCACTGAAGGAAAGTCCTGGGCTTTTAAGAGACCCCTCTTCTTACCAAAGAAATGGGAGGAGGAGGAGGGGAGTCGCCTTTTGTTTGTTGGTTGCTTGTGACYTAAATACCTTGCAACTAAATCAGGGCATCCATCTGGCGAAAAGTAGGGAAAGGAAACTTTAGTTTGCTCATGAAGTTGCTTTTGCTGGGAGCAGCAGCTCGGCAAACAGCTCGGCAAAGCAGAGGGCTGCACGTTGCCCTGCGGGTGCTGAGCAGAGCTGGGATCTCTTACCTGCTTTTGGCTGAACATGCAATTTGGTCCCAATTTTGGGGTGCTGCACAGGCAGGGGTGGGAAGTTAGTAACGCCTCCTAACCCCGACATATTTCACAGCCACAAAGATGAACCCTAACTACATTTTTTTTTGCCTAAGACGGGGCCACACCAAAGTTGCTGTTACCATGTGTCCTGCCCAAGGCATCTGAAAGTCTTACCTGCTCTACAAGAAAGCCACAGAGCTCAGGATAGGGAAAACAAACGTCAAAAAGGTTTGGAGCGTGCTGGACTAATAGCACTCTGCTGGCCCTTTTTATAACCCCAGTGAGTCAATTTAAATCACCTTACTGTTGTAAAAATAATGCAGCAAAGAGAAACAACAGCACATGTTTTTTTCTCTGCCAGTTCAGCAGGGTGAACGGGTTCATGAAGGGGCCTCCTAAGGCCAGCATCCATGCAAGGGAAGGAGCATCTTGCCTGAGGACATCACCCTGCACATGCCTGGCATCTCACCAGGGGTAGGAGTTAAGGCAGGCAGCCCTCTAAGCAGGCACTCACTCAAGAAGGGTTTGTCATATCTGTAAAAATGTACACCAGAACGCTCATATGCAGAGTTGCATCTCCACCAAAAGTCCCTGGTAGGTCTCCAAGTGATCTCAAAGTGATAAAAGTGACATCCTGCTGTTCTGGGCATCCCTAAAGTGACTGCTGCTGAAAGGAATTAGGGGAAAAAACACCCTCTTCTGTTTCCAAGATGGTTTCTTTTGTGTATTGAGCAGCCCTTTGTATAGCACCAGATCAGACAGTTCCTTCTAAAGCCAAGCCATCAGTTTCCCCTCTYTCTGCTGTGAGACACTGCAGGGAAAGGGAAACAATATCCTTACACTTCACTGCTGGGAGAATACGAGATGACTCTGACTTTATGACAGACGGAGTTCAAGAACCAGAAGAAATGTGGAAATTATCCAGAGGGGGACACAATCCTCTTTGCCTCCAAACCTGGGCTGCTCTGATTAGACCACAAATCAGCACAACTTCCCCCTCAATCCTCACTCCTCTAGACGGGGGTTTGCTACTAATGCCCTCATCCAGGTCRAAGAGGGCATTCTGATGCAATTTGCCCTTGTGTTGCCTCTCAAGTGAAAAGAGAAGGCAAGAGAAGAACCACCATTCAGCTTTGACCTTGCTGGGATGGTGGGGAGCCTCCCAAGCTCAGCATGCACATCCCACCCGCAACGTGCTTACCTTGCTCTGCTTCCTGTCCAGATAGAACTGATGTTGACTAATGGCCATAGCCCAGATGGACTTTATCAGCGCTGGGCAGGCGTACCAGGTGTGCACAGCGATGCCACTATGCCCAAAGGTCCTCCTGGTCACAGAYGCCCTGGAGAGGAGCAGAGAACAAACTGGGGTCACACACGGCTTCCTCGCATGGGTTCTGATGCAGAAAATAACCCCAGGACTCACAGGAAAAGCAGCTCTGCTTACTGGGACACCCTTGCAGCAATGGGAACAACGCTTGGAGAGCAGTAACAGGCAGCCATTCAAGCCCAGRGAGCCTTTGCTTAGTGCATTAGTCAAGTTTGTCCATTTTAAACTGAGCTCCTGGTTCAGCTGCCCTTGGCCTTGCCCTTGTTACACATCACAGAGGAGTCACTAATGACAAAGTGCTGGTGAATCCTGGATCCTCAATGCTGAGATGTCCAAGGTCAATCTTCACCCCTTCCACTACCTCTGGCTTTGCACAGTGGCTCCCAAATAGCAGGACAACTGGATCGATAGCTGCTTTAAAGAATATGGGGATGAATTTCAGGGGCCTCCATTTCCTCATGTCGAGGTGCAGCAGGACTGGCCACRCGGAGCTGTGGGGCTCGGAGAGAACGCGCCCCAGCAACGAGCTGGGCAAATACAAAACCAGGAAAAATAAGTGCTAAATGTTTCCTCTTTGGGACTCCCAACGGCCCTCAAATATTAGCCACAAATGCAGGTTAGGCCTCCCCGTGCTTTCACAGCTGTGCAAACTCCTCCTTATCCCCCTGCTCTAACCCCAGGGCGCTGGGTGAGCACTGCACAGGCTCACAGCATCCTGCTTTTCAGCAGCGACATAAAATCGGACCAAGCCACTAATCCCCAGGGTCCAGAACACACAAGATCCTCCTCTCCAGTCCCCTGAGACTCTATAATTATGAAAATGAATGTGAAGACAGGAACAGAGCTGAGAAATGCAATGCTTTGTTATGGCCTTTCGCTCCTGGACATGGATGGTGACGAGAGGCCAGTGCAAGCAACACCGAGGGATGGGACATGCTGTGGTCCTGCCTGTAAATGCAGGGGCGTTTCATGCACTCCCGTGTCCCTGTCCGAAACCGGGGGCAATGGAGAGGAGGAGGAAAAACACACGGTGGCAGAGAGCTGTGATGGAGCCGAGAATGAAGGAAAAGGGAAACGCTGAAGCAAAACAGTAATTGAGGCCTTTCCAGCGCTGCAAAACGCGTTACCGACTCAAATCGGTAGTGAAGTATCTGGGAAACAATCGGCCACAAATCGGAGTGAAGTATCTGGGAAAACAGCCATGGCCAGGGCAAACACGGCTACCTGGGCTCGGGACCTCTCCATCCTGCCCTGTCCCATCTTTTCCACGGATGCGGCAATCTGGAGGCAGAAGATCTCCATGAGGAKCAACCCTGGTGACTTTATATGGGTCTGAGGGACATAAATCACTGCAGCGCACTGGCCCATAAGGCTCCGGGACACTAAAGCACTAGGGCATATCCGAGCCTAAATCTTGGTGTCTTCCTATTTAATTCAAACATTGCTACTTGTTTTCAATTCTTGGAAACAACCACCCATCATCTTCATCACCAACTATTCATCATCATCTTACCTTAAAAGCAGCAGTTTCCTAGGCTTTGGATTTTTTTTTTTTTTGACCTGTTTACTTAAGCTGATCCCAGATATTGGCTTGCTTTTCACACCTATGTTGTGAGGAGTTCTTAGAAATGGATCATGGATGGTTTTTATTTTTTTTTTTTCCCACAACTTTCTTCCATGCATAGTACAGAATCAACCCTGTTGATATGCCCTAAAACGCAGCATTTCCCTCCTCCAAGAGATAAGGAGACAGGAGCAGGGAGAAGACGGAGCCCGAGCCCGCCTTGMTGAGCCAAGCGCGGCTGCGCTGACTCAGCCTCCGCTTTGGGAATGCCGGGAACGCCGGTTGTTCCTCCGCCYTGGCATGTGGAGGGAGTCCCTGCAGAGCCCATCCCGCTCGGCTTGCTTCGATCCCAGTTCTCCGGAGCATTTTTTGCTTTCTTTTCCTTGCGGTTGCTGCCTGCAGGAAGCCTCCAGCCTCGGTGTCCCGGGGAGCTGTGTTTGCAGCCCGCGTGCCGGGTGCTGCCGGAGGTTTGGGAGGGAAGGGGGACACCAGTCCCGGCTCCCGGCGCCTCCCAGCATCTCCTCTGCACTGGGAATTCCCTCTGCTGGATTTCACAGGACCATTTACATGCTTAATATTAAGGAGATGCTTCAGGGCTCCCCTGGAGCTGCACATGGCTAAGAGCGGCTCTGGTCAGGTTTTACTTTAAGCAATAATAAAAATATATAATGGATACAGGCAGTCTGGTTTTGGGGTGACTGCACTCAAGTAGATATAGACAGATACAGAAGCTGGATGCAAATTGGCCTTAATCCAAGCACATATATTAGTGTATGGATGGGCATGGAAAACAGGTGAAACGGGATCACAGCAATCAGCAAAACACGCAGGAAAAAAAAAAAAGTGCCGGTTTCTATCAAGCAGCCGGTTTCTGTCAATCAGCCTTATCTGCCCTTCCCGTTACGCGGGGGCCGTGGGTTTCAGAGGGATCAGTGTAAGGGCAGTGCAGGCACCGGCGGCTCCTTCTCCCGCTCTGGAACTGAGTTGCTGCGTTCGCAAAAGCGCCGCGGTAAAAACAAACCAAAACCGCCCTAAAACACCCCAAACCGCCCCGCAGGTCGGCGTCTCTCACCTGCGCGGGTCGTGCACCTCCACCGAGAACTTCTTCTCGCGGAAATAGAGGTTCTCCAGCTGCCTCCATTGGAAGATCTGCGGGGACGAGAGGGGCGTGAGGGGCCGGCGGCTCCGCGCGGCTCCCGCCGGCGCCGCCCCGCTCCGCCCCGCGCCGCTTCCTGCCCGCCCCGCGGCTCCCTCAGCGSGCCGCGCCGCCTCGCGCTCCCCAACGCCCCACGCGGGCCCCTTCTGGGGCGTTTTGTTCATTTTTATTATTTTTTTTCCGTTGGTTTTGGAGGGAAACGCGGGGTGGGGACTCTGTTACCTCAGCCCTAAGGGGTTAGCGAGGCGGGAGGTTAGGAGGGGTGACCAGGCTGCCCTTAYGGGAGGCGGGGAGCACACTCCCATACCCTTATGGGGATTACACTCCCTTTATGGGTTATTGACAATATATATGAGTTATTGAGAATATATCACTGCGCAAGTATCACTGCAGACAGTGAAAAAAACAGGTAACTCCTATTGAAAAATACCACAAAGATKCCCACCTGCAACCTGGGGAGGACAAAATGGCCGTGCCTCAGAGCACGTGGATGCGTTGGGACGTGTGGGACACGTGTGTGTCCATCAAGGAACAGCTCGTACCCTTCCCAAATCCCTCTGCTCCCGAGTCTCCCTGTCACCTCCCTAGATGTGGCTGAGGCCCGGTGAGGAGCAGCAGCAAAGTTTCCCTTCCATGACTAGCTCTGACTGTCCCAACACGCGTCTCCAAAGGGGAGCTGGTCACACACTCAGGGGTGGACCCTGCACCCTGAGTTTGAGCCTTTTTTTCCTTTTTTTCCTGCACAATGTCACTCCTCAGAACACAAATATATACATTTCACCATTGCTATAACTCTGCTCTCCCTTCGCTCTTTCCCTGCAGCTTCTCATTTTTACCCACGCCGATCTGAGGGATCTCACCCTTCCCTCGCATGAGGAATCCAGGCTGCAAAAAATGCGGATACCCACCCGAAAGCTCCGCTTTCCTGCTCGCAGCCCGCAGCAGAAACGCTGCCTCATGGCTCCAGAGCTCCTAATGTAAGCAAGCTGCTCCCTCCCCAGCTCTCTGGCTTACGTCTGTGTCCAAACGGATGGTGTTAATTCAACGACAGATGCACAGGGTGCCATTAATGGCCCTTTTTAAAAGGAAACATGATTTTTTACCCATCAAGGGCCTTTTAGCGTGTTGGTACTTAACCCTCGCCAGGGAATAGGAGGCACAGCGAGGGGTTGACCGGGTTCTCCCACGCGGTCGTGCGGGAATGCGGTGACAAGCGGATTAACTGGGGCTGTGTTAGGGCCGTAGTGAATGTAACTTTGAGGGACAGACAACTGAAATGTGGGGTGTATCCAGGGAAAAGGTTCCTGGCTGCAGGATCTGGGACAGCATCTCCCCAAACACCCCTGCATGGGGGAAATAGCTYGGCAAGATGCGGCTTCCCCTGCCCCTCTTAATAGCTGCCCTCGCCTCGAGCCACGGTGCCCATTAGTGGTGCTTGAGGCCGGGCGAGCGCCTGTGATGTGGTGATTTTCCCTCTGGGATCTCTCCTGAGGTCAGCAGCCCCTTTTGGATCATGACAGCACGGAGTGGCTTTCAGATGGGAACGATTTTTGGTCACATTACAGGCTGAGATCATTTCATCTTCGGTGGGTGCTTGGGGGGAGGCTTCCCGAGCCTGGCTTTAGAGCACAGCTGCACACGCCTGTTTCATGGGAAAGGGAACGGGGTTGCTAAACACCATGGAAAAACGATACCCCCTTTGCCCGYGTCAAAGGGACTGTCTGTACCGTGCGCTCTGGCTCCTTGTACCAATAAGACCGGAGCCAATATTATCACTGAATGTGCAGGAGGGCTTGTCAAGCTGCAAGGAAGTTCGTAACTCGGGGAAAAACTGTTCCACGTTGTGCAGCAGCACTGGGGTGAGTGGGGAGGCTGTTTCGGGGAAAGCAGGGCCAGAAATGGCTTTTTTTTTGCAAAGCTGCAAGCTTAGAAAAGAGCCAGGGGAGGCATTTCTGTGCTGTGAGGCGCGCTTTGCACTATTCAGGTGCAGGCTACAGGAATTTTCTCATCAGAAACTGCTTCCAAGACGCAGACAAGCTTGCCAGGCACCAGATGTTTGTGACCTGTTACAAAGAGCTGCAGATTTCCCGAGGTCTCTTCCACCTAAATATTGCTGGGATTCGGAACATCTAACAGACGACCGGCTGGGACTGTCACTGGGCTTCCTAACCCTTCCAGTTCTTCAAGTCCTGCAGCTTCTTAGATGATTAATGCACTATTAAATCATACTGTGCAGAAGGAAAAGTCATTGCTCTGAATGTGTGGATGACACCTCAGAACCCATCGAGATGCATTGAGAGGCTTCTAGGGATGGCAGAGGAAGAACATGATGCATTTCTAGCACCCAAACACAGCATTTCTAGTTGCCCAACCACAGGATTTTTGCCCCACTTGCCTAAGCGCAGCAGCAAAATCCCAAGTCTTTTGTTTTACACTTTAAAGACACAACAAGCATAAAAAAATCCTCCTGCTTGGAAACGTGATTCTTTCCACATTTCTTTCCACGTCTGAACAACCCAGCAAGTGAAATTCTAGGGGCTGAGCTATGCAGGAGGTCAGGGTGGAGGTTATGACTAGTTCTGTTGGGCCTTCAGATCTATGGAAATCACAGCCCCGGTAGCTCAATGGCAGTTTTGTCCTATTGGTTTCAGTGGGATCCACGGTTTCCGGGCAGGAATTTGTGTTGTGCCTTGAGCTGGCCCTGCTCCCATCAATCATTCCCTCTGTCAAACTAGCTGGAGGGAAGGAGGAAGGATTGGGTTTGGGCAGAATAGCCCCATCGCAGCGCACACAAACGGGGACTTGTTCAGGGGCAGATTTACCACGACGTTTCCGTGKTAAAAACGAGTTAACCTGCGAGTTACCGTGAGCTACTGCTGAGGTCCCCCTGTTGATGTGAGGGGCACGTGTAGCATAACCTTGCCCTCCACCCTGCCAGGCATCCATTAACTCCCATATTTCTGTCAGCTTGGAGTGTTTTTTAGCTACCTAAGGCAAAAATGTAGAAGGTTTCCTGTCTGATTCGAAAACAACCCCACCAATGCTCTTCCCAGCCTTCCTGCCTTCCCCCTTGAAATGAGAGAGTGGCTTGGCCCAGCGGGACTTCTGGTGGTCTGTCAGCAATCCCAGCTCGCTATCTAATTACTTCTTCCCCTCAGGCTTCAGGACTCTCTTTTTGCCAAACAGACAAACAATTTCTGGTCCAACTTGAGCTCCTTCTTGCTATATGCTGCTCTCATGGGACTGCACCGCCCCAGCAAACATTTCTGGCTTGACCAAGCAGAAATGGGGTCTAGATCTATATAATCACCAGGGTGTATTCATTCCCATTAGGAGAGACAATTCCCTATTAAATTTCAAAGGGGTTTATTGGCTCAGAGACACAGCGAAGTGACAGATCACAGAGGGAAGCGCCGTTATTTGGACAAAACGTTCCTTGTCTACGTAATGCAACTTGATATTTGCATCAAAAACAGTATCCAGACYGAGTGATTTGAGTTTGCCTTTCTATCTGAACAAATGCACCTCTTGCGCGCATTTATCTGATACGTGCTTTTATATATTGCACTGCTATCACCATGCTTGGGTGTCTAAGCCAATTTCACACAATCACAGAATGGTTGGGTTGGAAGGCACCTCTAGAATTTGTCTACAGAGAACTTTTTTTTATATGACTCAAAAATGACCCAAAACTTTAAATGTCTCAAAAAGGTTTTTTTTTCCCCCTTCTTTTTTATCTTTTGCAAAAGTGAGTAGTTCCTTCTGCGTGGGAGATATCTCTGACAATGCTCTGGACCACAGAGAAAGGATCTCCTATAGCCAAGGAGAACCTACAGAAGGAACCCGTAGCCCGTGAGTCAGCAATGGCACAAGAGAATGATTCATCTGCTCCACAAACCATTCCTGCCTCTCTTCCCTAAACATCCCCTTGTCTTATCCAGAGGTATGACTAAAGTGTCTCTGTCTTGTAACCCAAATACCTGAACACATGAGTCGTGATGAGCAGGGTGGGACGCGTGGCTGCTGCTGCTTGAGAGCCAAGCATGAGGGCTCCGGGAGGTTTTAATCTCGCTCCAGATCTCGCCCCGACTTCAGGGTGCTGAGATCCAATTTGTTTCACTTTGTGCTGTTGGAGTGATTTATTTCTGCATCTGTTGAAGTTCCTGCTGTGTGTGGTGGAATCGTTTAAGAGTTGGCTGCTGCTTTTATAGAGAATTAACCTTTAAGACTTGAATAGGGCAAAGCATTTAGAGCAAGGGAGTTTACCTTGATGGGGCTACTCCCATTTTTAATAGTAGCCATAGGCTTGACGTGGCTGGATGAGGGGATGGCACCTTTGCATGTGCAYGTGCTTGCAGAAAACCCTGCCTGGGGACTGTGTGCGTGACAGGCATTAGCAAAGCTCTCGTACACTGAACTGCCGGGAAAAGGGCTTCCCTTTAAGACAGCACTGCCATAGGCTACGTATTACATACGATTAGATGTATGGTAGTTGGTCAAGCTACACATTTACCTAGAGAAAGGAAACTGGGTATGATTTTTTAGATTTGGGAAAAGAGTGTCAGCAATGATTGGTTAAAATTGCTGTTTGAATGGGATGAAAACACTGTTTTTATCCATGTGAAAGATTCTGCAGAGCAAGAAAGCTAGGTACAACCTGTGTTAGGGAATACGYGAACAGCAGGTCATGGTGACATGCAGAAGTGGATGTCTGGGTGTCTAGGTGGATAAAACATGATACGAAGATTGGGAAAGAGCAGAGTGAGGACCCTGTGCTCTGGGTGTCCCTGCTGGAGCAGGAAGGTTGGACTAGATGATCTCTAGAGGTCCCTTCCAACCTCAACYGTTCYGTGATTCTGTGATGATCTTCCCGGAGACCTGCCTTTCCCCTTCTCCCATCAAATGAGTGATGTTTTTACAAGCTCCCTTATCTAGGCAGTCTGCTTAGCTGTCTGAGATCAGCCCTGTTTGCGACAGACACTGAAGGAAACTT